TTGTTAATACTTCAGGTACTTGAATGCATTTTTAAGAATTACCTCCTGAGTTTAGTGAATCTTTAGATTTCAGATTGTAAATGTGTATTTTGCATTGTTTTTTTTATACATCGTTGTTTTGTCATTTTATGCACATTTATACTGAATTACTTAACCTTATCCTAAACATAACTCCAGTCCAAGTCGGAAGGAGATATAATTTTAATTCTGTATGTGACCACATTGGGGAGGTTTTCCCTCACTTCTTGGCCAGGTGACCTGTACAATAAATGGAGTGGCAAGGTTGCTGTTATCACTGGAACAGGAAGACCGAGACAGCAATATAAACATTTTCTAAAGTTCTAACACAAAGGTTGAACTTGATGGACTTGTGTCTTTATTCAACCTCAAATACTATGTAACTAAGTAACTTCCTCACTCTACTACGTGTTTTTGTTTTAGCATGTTGACAGGAAGGGAGGGGAAATCTCGCAGATATTTACAGGGGCTCAAACCCTTTCCCCACTATATCTAAAATGTCACCTAAAACATTTGGTTGGAGTTGGCCTTTAACCTAACTTCTTAAAGCGCAACCCTAATTATAAATTTTTGCTTAATTTGGAACCCATGCTACACTCCAGTGCGGTTCCCAGTATCATTATTGGTCCAGTACCACTTGTCTTCTTTGGGCACACCACCTAGGAGTGCATCATTACACAGGCTGGGCACACAGTACTCTTGGGCTGAGCAGTGCTGATGGAATAACATCATCCCCAGAAACCACTAAACCCATCTCCAATGATACTACCACATTGAAGATTATATATTTTACCATCACTAGGACAGGCAATGCTTTCCACTGAAACATTAATTCACTGAAGCAAATCTATGGTGTCATATATTTTAGTATACTGTACTGCGCGCCAGATTATTAGAGCCAAAATGTTCAATTGGTCCGCAGGCATCCCCTTTAATTTAAAATGTATAGAAAATATACAATGGCTACAGGAGTCAGGTTGTATTTTCATCTTATAAACGTTACCTTCTCCATTTCAATCTGCAGCTGCCTTTGCTTTTCACTTACTGCCAAGCAATTGGAAGTACAAGTAACTTGTACACATTGAGATAAGAAGTTTTCTGCGTGACTGGACTTGGAGTTTGGGATAATGATACATTAGCTGCCACTTGGGTAGGAAAGAGCACTATGTGAACAGTTTGTTGTATAGTGTTAAAAGCTCAATCGTGCTTTTGCGCACCTGCTGCTTTAGACATTTCAGCGCTGATGCCTTTTTTGTAATTATCATTTCAGTTCTTCGACACATTGACAAGAATACTCTTGAGTATACGACTTCCTAGAACCCATCCCCCACTCATGATTGCTTCATTGCTTTTCCCCAGAAATCTGTACAGAGCTTGATGCTAAATTACAGGCATCCCCTTCAAGTAGACATTGTCAGTTCCTTGCAAAAGTGGCAAGACTATTCTGTATATGGAACAACCTAGAACAGGGGGTGCCCATTAGGTAGATCGTGATCTACCAGTAGCTCTCAAAGCTGATGCTGGTAGATCACGAAGGGTGTGAATGGCGGCCCCTTTATTCCACTTTGGTATATTTATTTAGCTGTGCACACATGATTACCTATTAGCCTGAGTCTGCTGAGCCAAGCTCCCTGACACCTTTCTGGTGGATACTGGTGGTTGAAGTGCTATGTATTACATCAAAGAATATTAGTTTGCACAGCCTGTTGCACTGCTTGCAAAATACAGCAAGGTGAGCCAGGAGAGAGAGCGGGGAGAGACAGCCAGGGGAGAGAGTCTGCTGAGCCAAGCTCCCTGTGCGAGGAGAGACAGCCAGGGGAGAGAGCAAAGAGAGACAGCCGGGATAGAAAACGAGGCATGACAGCCAGGAGAGAGAGGAGAGACAGCCAGGAAGATGAGCAATGAGAGACAGCCAGGAGAGAGAGCAAGGAGAGACAGCCAAGAGAGCGAAGAGAGACAGCCAGGATAGAAAACGAGGAATGACAGCCAGGAAAGAGAGAGCGAGGAAAGATGAGCCAGGAGAGAGAGGAGAGACAGCCAGGAAGATGAGCAAGGAGAGACAGCCAGGAGAGAGAGCAAGGAGAGACAGCCAGGAGAGCAAGGAGAGATAGCCAGGGGAGAGAGCAAGGAGAGATAGCCAGGAGAGAGAGAGAGAATGAGGGAGGTTTTTTTTTCGTTGGTAGATGTCATGTAGCTCGTCATTTGAAAAGTAGATCTTAACACAAAAATTGTGGGCACCCCTGACCTAGAATCTTACCCACCGCCAATGTAATGACTTCACTGCTTTTCTCAGAAGTCTACACGGAGCTTTGTGTAACATTACAAGCATCCCCTGCAAGTAAATATGGTCAGTTCCTTGAACCAGTGGAAAAGGTACATTGTGTATGGGACGTCCTAGAATAACATCCCCAATCATGTAATTACTTCACTGCTTTTCCTAGACATCTACACAGAGTTTGATGTGAAATTACAGGCATGCCGAGCAAAAAGACATTGTTACAGAACTGATATGCAAAAAGGAATGCTGAACTGCAGCATTTCTTATTACAGCATTGACCCTGATCATGTGATTGTAGTGATGGCACACCCCATTACCAATGAGCAATCAATTTCTGCGAGCGCTCTCAGCACATAGATCATTACCCACAAAACAGAAGCAGGTTATTATCTGTAATTGTGTTTGCTAAAATCGTGACCTAGAAATGAATGATTCCCCATATCTATATGATTGGAGTGTCTTTGAAGGGTCTCATTTATCCAGGTCATGGTATACCTAGTAGTTGTTAGTCACATTCAGCTGTACTTGTTCTGTTCAGGAATACAGTACAGAAAAGCTGAATGGGACTAACTACTGTTAGCTATGAGATTGGAGTTCCTCCTTATGATAGGTCATGATATGTAATGGCTCATAATGAAACAAAGTAGATGCTTAAAAAAAACTGTGTTCTGTCATTGCCAGTGAAAAGCTTTTATTGGTCCACATTTTATGCAGCACTTTTAAAGTGTACCTGTCATTTTGTAGCAGAGAGTACATTGAAAAAGTAGATGCTGAGCCTGCTTTGATATTGTTGGAACTAGGGATGCACCGATACCACTTTTTTAAGGCCGAGTACGAGTACCGATACTTTTTTCCAAGTACTCGCCAATACCAATTACCGATACTTTTTCTTAAAGGGACAGGTCACATTTTTTCTAAAGCAATACAAAATCATGATTTTAAGGTCAGTTTCTTAATATTATGAAGAACATGAACACTATGTAGTGTGTCACAGCTATATCCAATTCTGCATACCTGGCTTTATATTATAAGAACTTTAAAATAGAAAGCCAGGTATGCAGAATTGGATACAGCTGTTCCACACTATACAATAATACAGTGTTCTGGAGTCTGGGCATGTGATAATCTATTTTCCCCACTAGGGGGGATACAAGCCTTAGTTAGCAATGGCATGATAAATATTAATTTAATTATTCAATGTCTTTTTTTAATATTATAAGATTTATAATATTAAAAAAAGACATTGACTATCCGGGTCCCTGAAGATGGCGGACGCGGCACAGGTACTCGTTTTATGTATCGGAGTATTTGTACGAGTACTCATGCAAATACAAGCATCGGTATCGGCGGCGATACAGAGTATCGGCATCCCGAGTTGGAACAATCCAAGAAGGTAGGGGAATGAAACAACTTCAAATTACACAGATTACCCCGTCCCATATGTTTAAAAAAGGAAATATTATTTAGGCATGACTTTTAATATTATTCCCTGCAAACCTGGTAAAAGACACCAATTAATGCAGTTCTGTATTAGATAAAGTCACACTAATCTCAGGAGATCAATCTAAAAAAGACATTCAAGTACCTTAATTATTACCAAAAATTGAATCCTCGAATCATCTCTGAATTCATGCGGACACTGTCCTTCCTTCTGGAGGGGGGCTACTTTTGTTCTCCATGGTCCCTGTGTGTGTTGTAAAGTAGCCACTGCTCCAAGCTCGCTCCTGTGATGGACTACAATCTCATGTTTAGTTTACTAATTTGTATTGAGATTGTAGCCCATGCCTAACGTATTTTTACATTTTAAATCTTTTAAGTTTTTTTTTTTTTTTTAAAGTTTTAACTCATGTAGTGAGTTTAGTGTCACTCTAATTCATCATAAAACGTATTTTAAATATAAGCAGTGCAAGTACATGAATTTGATATGCTATCAGCCTTTTGCAGTCCTAATACAGAATGTGATAAGAAGTAGCAGCACAAGGAACCAATCAATTAATGTGCGCAGTGTGACAGAGACATGAGCTCATTATTGTGCTGCTTCTCCTTTTATTGTCCAGTCACAAGCTGGGTTGGAGCCAGGATGACCTGGGCTCAGAGGAAATTGGTTGAAAGATGCTTGTCAAGATGCTGGTCTCTGTACATTCACTGATTTGCTGAGCAGCGGCATGCTTCTGCTTACTAGCCATGTGCAGATACTCTGAGGCTCCTGCCAGGAGCTGCTGTTCCTCAACATGAGCATGGGCTGGGCAGGGGGATGTGTCTGCCCAGCTGGCTATGGGACTACAAGAACCCTATGCATTGGCATGGCCCCCTGTAGCTACAGTTTGAAGTTGAGGGACATAAACTGTCCACATCTACCTCTGTGCTTGGTGTAGTCACAAAGTGAAAGGAAGTGAAGACGACAGGCAGGATCACCAGGTACTTGCTGCTAATTGTGAAAATTGTAGAGTTACTATGGGCAGAATATTGCATTTATAGAATTTCTTGTTTAAGCTCTACATACAGAGCATACATGGCACTAGAGACTTAAGGGAGGTCTAGGTTTAATAATCGCTGGTATTCTAAGGAGCTCAATGTGAACAGGTTGAGGTGGGATTGCATTAATCCCAGGAAGGAGCAACTCACCCAGTGCACCCTGCAGCCAAATGAGCTTTTATATTTGGGCACTTAAAAACCATTTAACATGCTTTCATTTTGGTTTTAGGTTTTCCAGAGAAGGGAAGACGGCTCTGTGAACTTCTTCCGTGGATGGGAACAGTACAGAGATGGATTTGGAAAGCTGACTGGAGAACATTGGCTGGGTAAGTGATTTAAATAAAATAAAAATCAAAGTTTAACTTCAATGAGGCTTGTTTTACCCAAAATGGACACATGGTGTAATGTGAATTGTAAATTTCCTGCTCCCAAAAGGAAATCTCCTAAAACTGAGCCTCATCACCCACAAAAGACATCCTCTCTGCTCTTGTCCTGGTGACAATTGTGAAATTTTGGGTTCCCTCTTACTTTCTCTCTTCATGGAGGAAATGGTCTCCAGGACAAATACTGTGGTTACCCAAACAGAGCTCCAGATAGCAGAAAATACCTTCCCCATATCCAAAACTAAAAAAAGGCTTTGGCAGGAGTAACACTTACATTTACGTGACCAGAGCTGTCTTTTTATGGTGTTGGCATTTCTATCTGCCAGCTGCTTTGAGGTACAGGCAGTCCCCGAGTTACGTACATCCGAATTACGTACGACTTGTACTTACAAACGGTGGTCCCAGGCTGTTCCACTAGTTGTAATGCTACCGTGCTCGTGCCAACGTTCGTAGTACTGTACCTCCTGTACAATACAGGAAGTTGTTAGACATGCAGACAAGGAATGCCTGCCTCTTCTTCCGGGGCTGGTACTGTACATTACAGGAAGTTGTACAAACATCTGTCCAAGTTGCATTTAACCCCTTCCTGACCAGTGGCGTACATAATACGTCACTAGCATCAGCCCTATTTAAACAGACCCCCGTACCCTGTTTACATTTGTAAAGACGACTGTCGGCTTTACAATAGAAGCGATTCTGGCGAATCAGCTGTCGCCAGGTCTCTTTTATGGGCCTGTAGACTGCCCGCTCCAACCCCCTGACACCCCCTCCGTGTTTCCCGGGCTCTACTGCCCCTCCTGTGGGCTCAGGACCCCTTTCTGATTCTAGCAAATGTGCTGGCTGGCTGGTTGGTATATAGCTTTATATATAATAGCACAGAAGTTAAATATACTTTTTAGAATATCATGGTGTATTATGGGGCAATGATATGTGTGCGATATGGGCTCGCAGAAGGCAGCTGAAGGCCTCTCATTTAGGTACCATACAGGAACTGTTGGTGACCTTTAAGGATCACAGCAGAGCGCTTCAACCTAACGTATGTGCATTTTGAGACACATCAGGAACTGGAACCCCGCAGCTGCTAATGGAACACACTTAAAAATATCCTGTATTTCATACTTGACTATTATAGTGCCACTCACATTAAACATCTTCCATTATGCTTAAAGTAATTTCACTTTTGAAGTCAAATTTGAACCCCTCTATATGTTCGGTACGTGTTCCTATTTGCACAGCATAAAGAAAAATAACTTTAAAGAAAAGAAAATCTTATATTTTAGATGTTTTGTTAAAGGAGAACTATGAGTTGAGTGATTTTCACTCAACCTCATAGTTCGAGCCGACTTGTGACAATGCAACTGTCACACATCGGCTCAATAGATCGGGAAGTGAGCGAACACATACCGTTGCTCGCTCACTTCTCGATCCTGTCCCTGCAGAGAGCCGTGGCTGTCACTCACGGCTCCCTGCAGGGATTGCCCCATCCCCTGTCCGATCCTCCAGCGCTGACTGGAGGAACGGACGGGGGACGGCCAGAGCCAGCTGTCAATCACTTAGCTGGGTGGATCTCGACAGTAATGCCGGGATCCGTCCTGGCTGCGGCGGTGTCAGTATACCGCGTCCTCCCGCGTTATACTGAGCTTTGGGTTGTGGGAGGACGCTAGTTTATGTCCGTGAATCTGAGGAGAACTATGGGGAAAAGCACTGACATAGCCAAGGAGGCAAGGTGACTGATTCTAGGTTTTTCTTAGCCCTTGCTCAGTGGTCTGTCCTAATGGAAAGTATTGGGACTGAAATATGAGGATTGTTTATCTGATAAGCTTCATAAACATCCAATGGATATACCACCTCAGAGCCCTCACCCCTTACAGCCCCTCCTAACATTTCAAAGACATAAGACGCAATAAGAAATTTCATCCCTTCAAAACCCTAACCCAAGTAAACAACAAATTAAACTGCACAAAGCTTTTTTTTTTGCTTTTTTTTAGCTTATGCTCTGTGAATGGAAAAAAAAACAAATATAAAATAGGTGTTATCACAATTTGGCTGCAAAATTGGAAACACACTTTAAGGCCAAACTCCAAGAAGATATAAAAAAAAACAATTAATGCAGGTATAACTTAAACAATAATGTAATGTAGTTTAAGTAGCTGAATTTGACTTGGTTTCAGCCTTGAAATACCATGCACAGCAGCACTGAGACAGGGGCATCCGTAATGGCCATACAGGTGAGCTGCAGAGAACATTTGCTGACAGGAGAGAGCAGAGTGGGCAGAGGGAAGAAATGCTGCTGCCCCTTCACTGTCCAATCAAGGACTGGGGGCAGGTATGTGGCCTAGCTGCATTGCTTAACAGCTGCAGAGAATGTCAGGTCACCAGGCTGGCTTTGCTGTGTAAATCTCAGCATTGGATGGGCAGAAAAAAGTATTTTGGCTGGTAGAAAAGCTCCCATATTTATATTATTGTTTTAAGCTGAGTGCAATTGCCATTTTGTAGAAGACACAATGTTCGAAAAGAGCTGGATAGCAAAGTTAGACACTGACGTAATATTGAGCTCAAACACAGCTACCTCCTCATGTATCACTTGCCCCTCCCTTTTAGATTGTAAGCCCTCCTTACCATCTTGTCTTGAATTGTATTGTGATTGTAATGTCTTCCTTATATTGTAAGGTGCTGCGCAAACTGTGGGCGCTATATACATCCTGTATAATAATAATAATTTTGGTATTATTCCCTGCATCATGTAAAATGTGCAGCCATGGCAGCCCTGAGCAATCCCTAATTATGTTTGTTCGCAACAATCATCATGTCTAAATAAAGTATCAAAGCACTTTACTGTATGATACAAAATGGGACCAGATATTTCTAACAAAGAACACCGAGGACAAGTGGGAATGTTTTAGGGATATATTAAACAATGGCATTTGCCAGTAATAAATAAAAGAACAAAGTTAAACTTATGAGGCTGAATCTGAAGGTAAAACAACATATTTATAAGAAAAAAATGGCCTTTAAAAATTTTAAGACAGAAGGGACAGCATTGGCATTTCACAGCTACAAGGTATGCAATAAGAGATATAAAAGCGCAATCCTAAACAACTAAAATAGAATGCAAAATACATGTTGCTACAGTCAGTAAAACAATCTTCCAATATATAAACAGTAAAACAGGTAAGACAGGAACATGTAGGCCCCATAAAAGATGAGCACGGGAGGTTGATCACAAATAACAGGGAGAAGACAGAGGTATTAAATACATTCTTCAGTATACACTAATTACGGGTTTAATGAACATAACATAAATGCAAACAGCAATATGCTGAATGCACCGCAGTGGCTGACGGAATTCAGGGTTCAAAACAGACTAGAAATACATAATGTGAATAAATCCCCAGGACCAGATAACTTACACCCGCAGGTACTTAGGAGTATGAGAGCTTAGCCAAGTTAAAGCCAGGCTGTTGTTGCTAACTTTCAAGGACTTTTTACTGACTGGAAGGGTACCAACTGACTGGTGTAAAGCAAATGTTGAACCAATATTCAAAATAGGGCTGAGATGTCTACTAGGGAATAGGGATGAGCTGAGTGTTCCATTCGAACATCGGCATTTCGAGGGCTCGCCGAACTTTATGGGATGTTCGTGGTTTGTTCGACCGCGGACATTCCATAATGCAAAATGCCCTCTGAAGTTTTGTTTTGTTAAAGTCTTGCACCTGACCCCAGGTCAGGTGCAAGACTTTGCCCAATCAGGGCTCAGCAGAGGAGGGGCCTGAAGAAGAAAGTTCTCCATCAGGTCCCCCATGCTGATTGACAGCAGGAAGTGGGCGGGTGCAATAGCCAGCTTGCTATTGGCTATTGCATAGTTACATAGTTACATAGTATTTGAGGTTGAATAAAGACATTAGTCCATCAAGTCCAACCTATTAGGATCTCATTCTAGGAGTACCTGTACCCCTGTATATTATGGTCCCTTAAGAAATCGTCCAAAATTTTCTTGAACAATTCCACATTATTCCAGACCCTAACTGATCTTACTGTGAAGAACCCCCTTTGCCCCTTGTGGTGGAATTTTTTTTCCACCAATTTTAGGTGGTGGCCTCTAGTTTTTGTAATGGAGTTAATTTTAAACAGTTTATCGCTAATGTTGCTACCACCATTGAACATTTTGTACATGGAAATCATATCCCCCCTTAATCTCCTCACCTCCAATGTGAACATTGCATTGTGCATTTTACATGTGCATTTTACAATATCCAATAGCAGGCTGCGTATGGCTCCCAGCCTGCAATGAAGAGGTGGCAGGGGAGCCGCGGCCGGACCGGAGAAGAAGCCGATGAACCAGGGGACCAGAGGCCGGGACAGCAGCGGAGGTACGGAGGGCAGAGAAGGCATGCAGCGGTCTGTGTCCCCGTTGTCCCTGCCAACACAGGTGCGGAGAGCAGCGGGGATTTGAAGGGACACAGGCCACTGCAGCCACAGTTCTCCTAAATCTACCGGCAGCTGCCGGTAGATTTAGGAGACCTGTGGACCCAGTTCGTTAGTGCGGATTGTCCCTAACCCGGGGACTGCCTGTATAAGACCTCTTAAAGGGGACATTCATTTTCGAACGTTCAACCCCCATTCACTTGCATTGAGTAAGAGTTCGTTTTCGAACTTTTCGGCCGTTCAATGTTCGAATACGAACTAAACACGGGGTTGTTCAGCTCATCACTACTAGGGAACTACAGACCAGTTGGCCTAACATCAATAGTATGCAAATTATTTGAGGGAATCGTAAGGGTCTTTATTCAAGAATGTGCCTGGTGTAATGGTATAATTAACAACCAGCATGGATTTATGAGAGACCGTACTTGTCAGACCAATCTATTAATGTTCTCTGAGGAGGTGAGTAGTAATTTAGATGGAAGAAAGCCAAAGGATGTTGTTTACCTGGATTTTGCTAAAGCATTTAATACAATACACCATAAACGCTAATATACAAACTACGATCTATGGGCATTGATGAACTGGTGTGTACATGGATAGACAACTGGCTACAGGAATGTGTCCAGAGAGTATTAATAAATGACTTATCTTCTAAATGGTCTAGGGTTGTGAGTGGTGTCCCCCAGGGTACTGTCTTAGGACTAATGCTGCTTAACCTGATTATTAATGATATTGAGATTGGTAATAATAGTCCTCTGTGTTTGCTTATGATAACAAAATTTGCAGGTTAATAAACTAGACACAGGCCATAGCAGCATTACAGGAAGACTTTTCCCGGCAAATCAGAATGCCGGGCGCTGCGTCATTACACGGCAACCGGCTTCTGTATCATCACAGGTGACGAGAGAGCATGGAGCCATTTCCTGGCCAATCAGGAAACCGGGCTGCGTGTAATAATGCTCTGCCCGGCTTCCTGATACAGGAAGGACTCGTGCTAGGTATCGGAGCATTTGGGCGAGTACTCACCCAAATATTGGTATCGGCACCGATACTAGTATCGGTATCGGTGCATCCCTAATATAAAGTTATGCATTTGAGTACTAAAAAAATGCATGCAAGCTATTCATTAGGGAGACCGGCTCTGGGGAAATGGGAGGCGGAAAATGATTAGGGGGTCCTAGTAGACTGCAGACTTAGCAATAGCATGCAACGCCAGGCTGCAGCAAATAAGGCTAGACTAGGCATACAAAATAAGCCTGCAAAAAAAGTACATACTCGCATATACTGTATACACATAGGTTGAACTGGATGGATCTGTGTCTTTATTCAATCTTAACAACTATGGGGGGGCGGGAGGGAGCTGCGGCCACTCTCTGCTCCAATGCTGTGAAATGTAAAAAGTAATTAGGCAGCTACCCCGGAAGTAAGATCTAGCGCTATCAGGGATTTCTGTAATATGAGATCTACCACCGAACTAGGTCTTATTTTCGGGGTAGGTCTTATATTACAGAAATCCCTGAAGATAGTGCTAGGTCTTACTTTCGGGGAAACACGGTATGTAACTTTGTTACATAGTAAAAACCTAAGTTTTACTTTCTCACAGATTCTGCAGCGTTAAGCTGCCTGAAAAGTTCCTCTCAGGCCTCTATTGGTGAGAATTTTTTGCCGCGTTCTAGGGTCTGTACACCTGTTGTGCCCATTATGTGGGGTTCCCCCTAATCCTGTTGGATTTTTTTATTTATCTTATATCATGGCAAATGTCACAAGGGGGGCTAGAACACACAAAGGTGGACAGGAACACCTAGAACTTTCAGCAGGGATGTGTGGTCAGGAGAGGCAGGTGAGGCCGAGCCTCACCTAGTATTATGGAGGAAAAAGCTTCTGTCTGAAGCTGACAGATTTTTCTATATTCAGATCGGCTTCTAGCAGGTTACCCAGCAGTGAAAGCCTCCCCTCTGTGTAACCTGTCATGGACGGAGCGCTACCGGTTAATTGCAGGCAGTGTTGCATCCGGCTAGTTAGTTAGGTTACGCAGCAGCTGGCTTTCCCACTACTTGTGTAACCTAACCTAGTGAGGCAAGAGCTGTCACATCCTCTACTCTTTGTTAGAGGCGTGAGCTCTGTGGCTGGTTTGGACCAATGGCAAAGAAAAAAAGAAAAAAAACCCCACTGAGGCCATGGATCTCGATGCCTCAGCAGTGAGGAGCAAGTGAGGGACAGGAAGGCTCCTCCCTGTCTCCTCCCTCCTTCACACTAGCCGGGGCTTAGCTGGTGGGGCTTCGGTGAGATATGGTGGGGCTTTGGCGTGCTGGGGGCGGGGCTGCGGAATGCCTCACCAGGAAGCAAAGGTACCGCACGTCACTGACTTCCAGGCAGATGGGAACAGAGTAAGGAATTGTGGCAGGAAGATATTGCTGTAGGAGACACACAGTAAAGTAAGCCTGGCTTTACTCATCAGGCTAGACCTATAGGTTTGGGTTGACTGGTTCCTTTAAGCCAAATTAACAAAAATACAAAAACATCCAACATTAAATATTTATTGCCTGGATATTTATTGACCATTGGCATATGGCCCGATATACAAAAACCTGACTATTACAAAACAACCAGGTTTGTAAGAATAATATTCAAATCTGGTGGCAATGGGCAGCTGCTTCTGTTATTATTAAACTTGCCACAGACATTTGTTGGTGAGATGGTTCGGTGCCAATTTTGCTATTACAAGATGGAAATTGTATACGCTTCTAAATAATAGACATTATAACACTGATAAGGGATCTATTCCTCCAGAACTAATCATTGCAACATCTCATCATTATTTCCACAAGTTTTATTTGAAATGTCTACACAATATACGTGCTTATTGTTCAGGTTTTGGTTAATATTTTGTGCCAACCGCTTATTACAAATACATTAGGCCTATTATTTGCTGTGCTAAAAAATATTTTCAATTGCTGTTTCTTATGAATTGTGAGAATCGGATAATCCACGTATTATGCGCGACAGCACAGGCCCAAAACATTTGCTTTGCAAAAGACAGAAGGTGTTTTTGGCATTCAGTAAATAGATGTTTGTGTTAGAGCAACTGTCTATTCTGTACTAAATTGTAACTTGAACAAAATGTCGGCATTTCCTGTACCACTAGAAAGGATGTGTGCTCGAGTGTAAAGCAGCAAATGATCATGTGCCACTCGCTCGCCACAACATTTGCTGTGTTTAGAAATCACATTCAAAGGCCCTAATGACCCACGTTCACCACTGCATTAATTAGCTTGCCGTTCATTTGACTACGCGCAATAAAAAGTCTTCAGAAAGCATAAAAAGGTTGTTGTTTTGGTGTTGTGTATACAGTACTGGTGCACAGTGGGCACTCCGTGTCCATCTGCCGTCCCCATCGGTGAAAACGGCAGGGTTGGTGAATAAAAGAAGGAAGCTGCTCCGTTGACATGCACATTCAGGGCTTGGTGCACCAGTCTTGCTCAACTCTGCAACAGAATCTTAATTGAAATCTGAAAACAAGAACATAGAGGCCACGGATCACAGAAATACCTTGATTTGCATTCTGCATTCACCTGATGTCCTCATTAAAATGGTGAAGATGGAGTTTGACCCTCTCGCAGGGACTCCAGCACCGACAGACAAAGCAATGGAATGAATAAGCATGGTGCATACTGAGAAAATTAAATGCTGGAAAGGACAGAATTATGGGTATTATAGATGCTACCTGGACAGAGCAACTGATACAAAAACATCCTTACACAGTTCAGCCGCCTTTGGGAGTATTTTAGGAGGATTCCTGGCATTATTCCAGTTATTATTTGTCTAAGCTTTTCAAATTCTAGAGGTTGCTTTTACATCACTCACTTGTGTTAAATGCCAACAAGTGGCATTTTTTTTTTTGCATAATCTTTAGTTGATATTTTAAACAAAGTATGAGCATGATAAAGGGAAAATCTGTTGCATCATAACACCAAGTGCTTTTATTATCCTCCTAATTTGGCACCTAAACTTTAGTTATTGGTAAAGTTATGAACAACACTGTGTATATGAAAACCATAACAATAAAATTTGCTTATTTGCTCCCTTTTGGTCTGTTACATATACCTTTGAAAAAGTTTTGTTATATTTGTTCAATAAGTGCAAAAAAATACATGTTGATCCTGCCAGAAAATACAGTACGGTCTTGTATCCTGTGCCTGGACCTTAGGGCTACAACCCCATACTGTGTTATGGAGCAGAGGAGACTTCCTGTGCCAGGGTGACTTTGCTGTTCCTCCACAGATTCAGTACAGTGAGTGAGCATCATCACCATAGGACAGGGTGTATGTTACTGGCAGGAACACCAGGTGAAAATGAGGGAAAGAAAGAAAACTAATGCATGTGCTCCATCAAAGAATGGTAACTGCAATATATTACATTTCTGTTATTAGGTTTAGATACACTAAGGGGCTGATTTATAACTCTTCCCCCCAAGTGTATAGCTGGGCAAATGCCTTTTGCACTCCACTAGATGGCACTGAGGAGCAGATACATCAGTACCTAAGAGTTTTGCAGGGATAGGCAAAGTTGAAGGGTGGGGGTGGGAAAAGGTAAAAGGGCAAGATATGGAGAGCAAAAAGTGTCATGTTAGTACTTATTGTATAAGTTTGGAGGGCAAATAGAGGAGATTAAGGGATGTGAAATATACACAATATAACAATGTATGATAATGATGCATTCACAGTCATTTATACAGTATATAGCTAAATAAAGGAATCTTGCATTTCCCTGTTTGAGTCATGCAGAGAGGTTGGATAGATCAAGTGAAGCCCAGGTTTGTTAATGTGGTATGAGAATCTGTAGAGGCTGTGTAGTGAAGCCAAATGTCGTAAACTGTTTTTAGCAGAGTATAGAAGAGTTAAAGCCTCTGTCAGGTTTTATTGATGTCTGTGTCCTTGTTGGCCAGATTTTTCTGCTGATAAAAAGTGTTCTTTTTTGTTGTTGTGGCATGGTTAGACTTCTCTGCACATCCTATCCTGATGAGAGGGGAACAGGAAGTGAGGGTGAATCTAGCATACACAAACAGCAATACAAATCCCATAGAAGGGCTTAGAATCTTTATTAGCTTTATAGTGCATTTTGTTTTCTGCATTTGTACCTGGAATATAAACAGCTACAGAGGAATGAAGCATAAAACACTTCATTCCTATGATGCAAAGGGTGGTTTCAGTGTTTTGTTCTGGATAAGCCGTGCTCACCCATTTTAAAGGAATTAAAAACGTGTTAGATGAAGTTTGCTACTCTGATTGATCTTTAAAGAGTAACTCTTCTTAAGTTAAACTCATGCAGTCTTACAGCACATTCATCTGAATGACCAAAGTACCGTCATCATTCTTCTCTTTCCGTTCTAGGCTTACAGCGGCTTTACTTATTGACTATGCAAACACATTACCAGCTCCGCATTGACCTGGCTGACTTTGAAAACTCTACAGCTTATGCTCAGTACAACACGTTTGGAGTGGGCCTGTACGCTGTGAACCCAGATGAAGACGGGTACCCTCTCACGTTGTCGGACTACTCGGGAAATGCAGGTAAGTGCTCGGTTAATGTCTGTGATAAGTGGTAACAAATTCCCACAAAAATAAATGGGGTTATCAAAGAAAAAGTTTAGTTTTGGAAAGAATAGGGAAGGGTTAGAAACCTCGTTAGTGTCTTGGGGTTTTTTTTTGCTGTCTGTGCCTCATTAAGAGATTATCTTTCATTTCCTGTCCCAAAGACCCATCAGGAAGTGAAAGGAAACCTCCCTGAGGGAGGCTATACCCTCTTTAAACAGTTGTCACAGGAGCAGATGCCCCCATTCAAAGATTTCCCCTTTTCTGTTCCAGTGAGAACTGTAAAATGGGCCCTGCCCATTATGTTGTAGAGATAACATTCTAGAGTTAGCCAGAATGAACTAACAATGGCATGTGAAAGCTGGACACAAAAAAAACTAGATTTTTAGACAATTAGCCAACAGTACAATACTTCAGTGCCTTTGCACCGACATCTCTGTTGCACTTTGTTGTCTCTTAGTTGATTTCCATCTTAAGTTCTCCGCACAGGTTACAAGCTGACTGTACAATCTCTTTCAGATCTAGCAACAACTTTGTACTGCACGGGCTTGTGTGATTGCACACAAACTGATTGGATAGTTTAGGTAGGTCCTTGTATTACATGGTTCTGGTAAATCTAAAGGAGATTGTTCAAAGATTTTATAGTCAGATTGCAATAGTATGGTGAGCCTTAAGAAAGATCAGAGAGGTTGATTTTGACACAAACATTTGGTAAGTCCAAACTACCAGTAAGTCCAATGTAGACTGGAACCAAAACATCTACGAGCACCAATAATATTCCTAATGCTGGGTTCACACCTTGGCGTACGGAATATGCGCATATGCCGCGCGTTTTTACCGTGATTTGCGGTAAAAGAAACGAGCGCCAAACGTACATTTTCGAGGACTATCCAGCTGTATCCTAATGGATGCGCGCGGAAAATACGCCCCAAAGAAGCTGCTGTACTTCTCTGGGCGTAGGGCGCCCAGGTGGGAACCACGCCCATAGGCAATTATTGGTTTTCACATGCTGAGCGTTTCAGGGCTGTAAAACGCCCAGGTGTGAACCAGGCCTCACTGTTCTCGGTGGAAGTTACAAAAAAAAAAACTGTAGTCAAGCTCATAGCTTAGAGGTTAAATGTCCACAGTGCACACAAATAGCAATACAAACCTTATGGGGGGTTCTATCCCTTCCCTACATTATGCAAAAATAATAATAAAGTTTTGGATTTAGCTATATTTTAAATGTATTTTTTTCTTTCAAGTAATAACATAGATGTGGATCAGCTGCTGATCAGGTGTATTTGGCGCATTTTTGTGCGTTTTTTTTAAGGGTGTTTCAGCGTGTTTTACATGTGTAATAGCGTTTTTTCAGCTTATTTTCAGTTGGCCAATGAAAATCAGTCTCAGCTGCAAAAATGCGCTAAAAAAGCGCAACAACACGCTAATCGGTGTGTTTCCATTGAAGTCTATGGAGCAAAACTGGCTGATAAGTGCCACAAAAGAAGCTCAGAGACTAATTAAAACACCAGGCATATTTTTCCGCACGATTCAGCACATTTGCGTGAATGGCCCCCGTAGGAATACATGGGATTTTAACTTGCAGAGAAAAACGCGCAACAAATCGCCCTGGTGTGAATGGGGCCTTGGACTGCAATAGCCGTTGAAGATCATTGCTTTCAGCATTCAAGCTGCTTTGTGAAAATGGAGGCTATGAGTTCTGTTTTAACCAGCGACACTATCTGCAAGGAAGCCATATGATTTTCCTTTGGTTGTGTGAGTTTCCTCGCATTCAAACAACAACTAGACCAAACTGGTCTTGTGTTTGAGCTGGCTGTATGACTTTACTGGAGATTAGTGATGAGGCAGGGCTTGGTGTAAACCTAGTTTGAGTGAGTTCACCCAAGCCCACTCAAAACTCTGACCGACACCCCACCACGCAGTTACGGAGAGGGGCATTCTATGTCACAGCTATGAGTCACAAAGGAGCATAAAGCCCCCCCTCCCCCATTGCCGTTACCGCCATGGATTGGGTTGAGAGGAGGAGGTGGCAGTCAGAATTTTGAGTTGGCATGGGTAAACTCAGGCAAACTGGATTTCCACCAAGCCCAGCCTCATCTTTATTATCGTCTCGAGAACAAAATGGGTACTTAAAGGAGAACTATGGGGTCAGTGTTTTTCCCCATAGTTCTCCAAAGGGTAACGGGAGGACACAAACTAGCATCCTCCCGTTACCCTAAGCTCAGTATACCGCGAGCTACAGCTCGCGGTATACTGAGACGCCGCAGCCGGGGCGGATCACGACTCTTTTGACGGGATCCGCCCAGCTGCGTGAGTGACAGCTGGCTCTGCCTATCTAGAGCCAGAGCCAGCTGTACCCGCCCCCTCCCCCGTCCGTTCCGCCAGTCAGCGCTGGCAGATCGGATCGGTGAGAGGGGAATGCAGCCCCTCCCCCTGTCACGGCAGAGAGCCGTGACAGGATCGAGAGGTGAGGGAATCCGGTATGTGTTCCCTCACCTCCCGTTCTACTGAGCCGACCTGTGACAGTCTCATTGTCACAGGTCGGCTTAGAACTATGAGATGAGTGGAAATCACTCATGTCATAGTTCTCCTTTAAACGTTGCAGTGCGGGGGTAGCCCCATTGCAAGGGTTAGTTTGAAAAAGTAAATTCACATAAACTTGACCAGTAATACAGCCAACTTATATTTTGTATTGCTCAAGAACCCTGGCAAGAGATTGTTTTCTCCAACACTGGCTACACACTTGGTATTTTGAGATGCGCTCTTTCTTGCATGTGAATGTCTGGATGATCTTTACCATGTGCTGTCTGTACACTCCTCCTTTACAAAATGACTGATGTGCAGGAATTTAAACATAGAAATTATTTAAGTCATGCATTCATTTGCAAGCCAAGTCCTTGAATTCCATAATGGTGCCTTTTTTTTCTTGCCTGCTAGGAGATTCCATGGGAAAGCACAGCGGAATGAAATTCACCACCAAAGATATGGACAACGACCACTCAGAGAACAACTGTGCCAGCTTCTACCATGGAGCCTGGTGGTACCGCAACTGTCACACTTCCAATCTGAATGGGCAATATCTCCGCGGTCACCATGCCTCCTATGCCGATGGCATTGAGTGGTCTTCCTGGACAGGTTGGCAATATTCACTCAAATTCACAGAAATGAAGATTCGTCCCTTACGAGAAGACAAGTGATTTTTCCCATTGTTTCCTTACTGGGAGGGGGAGGTGGCTTTTTAAGGGAGAAATGCTAACTTGCACTCACTTATTTGGGTGGGGAACCTTAAAAAAAAAAAGAAGCAAAGACTTTTCAGCACTTCTCAATGCTTTTGCATAAAAATATGTCAGTGTTGAGTTTCTGAATATATTATAAACATGGCATATAGGAGTTTACCAGGATGATCTGACAACGAAATTTGGAGAAATGGACAAAAAAATTGAGATGTTTTGACAATTAACCATCAGCACAATACTTAAGTGCTTTTACGCCATCTCCTGTTGCACTTCATTGTCTCCCAGCCATTGCCCAACTTAAAAACTGGGGGTCTTATTAAGACACAAACATTTGGTATCTACCTGTAAGTCCAACATTGACTGGAACCAAGACATCTATGTGCACCAATCTATTTCTCAGTGTCCTAGGTGAAAAGGTTTTTAATACAGTGTTAGTAGTCAAGATCACCCCGTACTTGCAGCCACACAATGCCTTCCTCTGTGTTCCTGGCATCCCTTTTTTGACAGACGAGTGAAGACTTTGTGGAGTCTGTGACTAATATTTTCTCACGCTGCGTTTGGCATTGGTTGTCCTCCCCGCTGTACCTGTCATTTGTTCCTGCTATTCATATTTTTTGGTGACTAGTGGAGTTGGAATTAATTCATGTTTACACCCCCCCCCCAACACTCTTTCGACACAGCTGCCTTGTCTCTGATGTCCGCTTATTTGAATGCAGCAGACTTTGGATTACTGCATCCTCTGTCAGACGGATGACCTAGATGTTCATGTGGCATGTGGGTGGAAAGTCAAAACATGTTCTGGCATAGCAGGTTACCAGGCTGTGTAGGGTAAGAAAATGTGAGGTGCCAAGCCAAAAAGACTTTGATATTTGATTCTTAAAATTCTGGTTTATAAGTTTTTTTAAATTCCTTTTGGAAACTGTGCAAAATTTTGTCCAAGATAAATGTTTTTGGTGTTGACTGTGTTTGATGACCATGCTTTAAAGCATCATAAGTAGAAGGTGTATCCAAAATCCCTTTATATAGCACAGACATTCTACAGCACTTTAAGACGAGCACCAAATCATCAATTACAGTCCCTGCTGAAGCTTTCCAATCGAATCATTGAAATTTAAGCACACTCTAGGCCACATTAGGCAGGAACCAACAAACTTCTCAGCATGCTTTTCTGTGGGAGGAAAGCAGATTTTGTTATCAGCTAGAACCCAAACTAACTTAGGGAGAACATATAAAGCTTATAAAGTCAAGGAGCCCCAGGACTGCAAGACAATAGCCCAAACGTCTGTACCAAAACATGGCTTCTAAATAAATTTGAACTTTTCAGAAAAGGTTTTAAGTATAAAATTCCAGACTGGATGAAATGTTTGTCTGCATGATCTAACCCTTTCTTCAAGACACAAATCTCTGAAATGGCCAGAAAAAAATCACTTGCAATATTATCACCTCAAAGCCTGATTTGGTTTCCTAACATCTCTTTAGCAAACATTTCAGGTTCCTTTATGTCAGCCTGGCAGCTGTTTAATGATCAGCACATTCTCAATTACCAAAGACGAAAGGCTATTTGTAACACCGTGCGCTAAACATTCTCTGCTGCTCTCATTGTGGTGACGCACGCGTGCTCATAATTAGTTGGTCATTTTCAAAAACAGATTAAGATGTCGCAGTGCAAGGACTCCGGGCGGAGGCTGTTGTTTCCCATTTACATTTACCTGCTCCTGTGGGAGCAACGCTGTTATTTTAAAGGACATCAATAATCCCCCAGGAGGTCCCACACCTCATGCCCGCACAGCCAGGCGCTTAGTAATGAGTGTGATTCGTGTAGCTTCTTTGTGAAATCATTAGCATATTTCAAGCAGTTTATCTTTTTGCTACCTGGGCTGTGGCGGCAAGCATTGTAAACAAATGTTTTGTAAATGAGAAGGAATCTATGCGTATATAACCTAGAAGTTAATGGACCATGACAAAGTTTGGTTGGTTATGCCCAGAGAGTGGCATTAACAGTCTGCTCATTAAAGCTGCTAAGTTGGCATTGGTGAACCATTCTTCTTCCCCTCCTTTCTTTTTGACATGTAGAATGGTTTTGTTTTTAATGTCTTGGTTAAATGAGCATGAAGTCTTCTCGTTTGTTGCGCACGAAGGCATAACTCAGCAGGAACACCTGAGCTGGTGTCAGCTGCAAATCTCGAGAATGAAGAACAGGTGGAAAGAGAGGAGGGGTCTCCAGGGGACTTAGACATGAACAGGGGAGAAAGGTCTGAGTACAGATGGGAGAAGAGAGGCAGATGGAAAAGGCACTCGTTGTGACAAACACATAACTACAGAGGAAGAGATGCACAGATGGAAGAACTAGAAAAGAAATAAAGGGACAGGAAGATAATGAACAAAATAAGTTTTGAAGAAATATTATTGTAGGGCGTTTCGAGGAAGTAATAATGATGTGAGGGACTACACTGGCTATGGTTATATTTAAAAACATCTGAGAGACATAAGACTGTCGCAAGGCTTAAAAAAAACAGCTGTCAAGTTGGGTTGCTAGAAAAGAACCAAAGTATAATGGTGAAGAACCCGGGACATGTCTTTAGATGAATAAGTTACCTCATTACAGAGGCACAGGAGGTAGGTCTTTGAAAAGTATTGTTTTCTATAATTTTTTTTTATTCCTGGCCTTTTTAAACCATATAAATCGTGTATGTGGTTGTTGGGTTGTGTGAATGGGATCCATTTCCATTAAGATCTCTATTAAGATTAAATTTGCATTCCAGGAAGCAATTGGTACCAAAGGATTTGTAATTTCATTCACGGGGTTATTCACAAAAAGGTAAAGAGTTTGGAGAAGGCCGGAGATGTGAACAAGCTAGGCCAAAATAGCTGATTTGGAAAAATTATCCAATTCAGCTCACTTTTCAGTTCAGCGATGTTGTCCTAGATTGTTCTCTTCTCCTGCCTTCTCCAAACTTTTCACCCTTTTGTGAATAGCCCTGATAGTTTGTGATGCTGCCACCAATGCAAAACAGCACAGCCAAGTGTGGGACCTCCAGTGCCACTACAGCAGGACCTAAGCACACCCGCAGCTTGATGACTGGATAAGGAAGGAGAAGCAGTACACTTATGAGGATATCCCTCTGCTCTCTTCTCTTTTCAGCATGTTCACATGTTGTGAGTCTGATTAGCTACAAGTGCTGCCCCTCACTTTCCTAGTCTGACTGATGCTATAAAGGGGATTACATGAGATCATTATCAAGGCAGTTTCAAGAAATACATTTTAATGAATCCATCACGATATTAACTGGTGTAGCCATCAGGAGTTGGGTTTCATAAATAAGAAATGGATGGCCATGATGTAAGCAAACTCTAATGTCAGGCCGCCAGCTGTTGCATACAAACATTGGAAAACATGCAAACATGCAGGTGACTTTCCACAACGCCTAGGCCAGTGTTATTTTTCTACATTGTTTAAAAGCATGGGCAGCTGCAAGAGATGGCTGGCTTAAATAGAGGTTGGGGCTTAGAGCTTGAGGATAAGGCTCTTTGTAACTCTAGGACAAGTTCTTTTCTTAGGGTACGTTCACACCATATGCAGTATGTACCGGCCCAAATCCAGACGGAACGCACTGCATCTTATTGTGGCCGGCTCACTATTTTGTGGGGCTGGAGGGGGTCTGGCTGCAAGCACTATTTGGACCGGACCACAGGCACAATGTGCCCTGCGATCCCGTGTGGGCGACCGAATTGCGGCCGGAGGGCGTGGCTACGGTGCTATTCACTCCAATGGCCCGCCAAAAAAGTGAGCCAGCCGCAATGCGAGGCAGTGCGTTCCGGCCAGAATCGGGCCGGAACGCACTGCATATGGTGTGAACTAACCCTAAATCACCTTGGAAAGAAACAAGCAATTATTTCAATGACACCTAGGCCTAGAGAATGAAGAAATAATTTGTGTGGTCTTTTTGCCCGTTTTTTAATGCTCCACACCTCTGCTCGAGACAGCTGTTCAAAATGGCAATGAGATGAAGTAATCAGGGAAAAGTTTGTTACTCCTAGGCCAGTTTGTTGTTACTTTTAAAATCCGATCACACACAACTAAGAGATGGCTGGCCAAAAAGCAGCAGGGCTCAGGGACCGGGATGAAGCTCCTACAGCAGTTCCTTGATTATTCCCCAGACTGTGAATTGCCTACGCTCTCTTTAATTGATGAGCTCTACATCGCACAACAAATTAGCACTATAATGGATGACACCACCAAGGATTTAGCAATGTTTTCTGGAAAATAAATCTAGCAGTTTTTTTTTTCTACACAGTATTACATGTGTTTTGAAGATTTTTCAAATTAGGTGAAAATGATTTTGTGCAAATTAAAGGTATGTTGACAGATACATGACTTATTGCAGTATGTGTGTTCGGTGTTTTTTCTCTCTCACTGTGATGCATAATTAGATTTCCATGTAATTACGTGTTGCTATGACTAGTAATACATCCCATCTGTGGTGAAAAAGTAGCAAATTAAGTCATCTGTAGAATCAACCAAAGCAAAGCATTCTGGGAGTTAATATTCTCTAGGATATAGGTATTTAAAGCTCAGCTCCGAGCAAAACTTTTTTTTTCTGTTCTGGATAGAGTGGAAAATGGTTACAATTACTGCCTTGGTCTTTTTATTGCTTTTTGTGTCATCTAGAAGAGGAGCAAGGAGAGATCCCTCCAACTAATATGCAAAGAACAATAGAAACACCATTTAAGTATATTGGAGAAGGAATAGAACCTCTGTCAGGCTATTATTGTTTTCTATATCCCCAAAAGGAAGGATTTCCTTCTTGTCCAGGGTGACACCGTGACCGGAAGTGAGAAGAAATGTCCCAGTAGTTAGAGAGACAGCAGTGAAAACCTGACAAGAAGCTATAAACCTTCCACACTCTATCCAAACTTTGAGATCTGTGGTTGAAAATGAGCTTTAAAGCAGCCATGCAGAAAAATCTACTTTGTAAATATAACCCATATTGTCTCCTGTACAGGCTGTAGTTTCATATACACTGCTTGTCCAAAAACAAAAAAGTCTTACACGCTAATATTTAGTTGGACCACCTTAGGCTTTGATTATGGCATGCACTGTTTCGATCATTTTATGCAGTGTCACAACTAGGGATGCACCGATATATCGGCCGAAAATGGCACTTTTGGCATAATG